CCCCTAACTATCAGTAGAATAGCAGGTGAGACTGGCCCCTATATCCTTGGTTGGAACCAGTCTAGGATATTGTAAACTCCGAATTCCCAAACAGCTTGAAGACTAACCTCCCACCAACAGACATTGGTAGAATATTAGGTGAAACTGGCTGATATAGACTTGATTGGTAATCAGCCTAAGATAATGTAAACTGCAAATTCAATAACATTCAGCTGACTCTCCTATGAGTAGAATAGCAGGTGAGACTGACTCCTATAACCTTGCTTGGAAACCAGTCTAGGATTTTGCAAACTTCGAATTCACAAAAAAGCCTGGAGATTCCCGACCCGCTATGAATAGAATAGCAGGTGAGACTGGCTCTTATAGCGTTGGTTGGCAACCAGTCTAACATAATGTAAACTGCGAATCCAAAAACAGCCAGAAGACTCCCCCTAGCAATGAGTTGAATAGTAGGACACACTTGGCCCTATAACCTTTGTTGGCAAGCAACCTATCGCAGAAAGAAATGACAACCAACCCCGAGAAAATCTTCTGCCTAGTCTGTTAGGAATCGAACATGAATCCTATCACGTATGAATGACTGAATTTTGAAGTCTGTCAGAAGGTGTCAGGTGTCTACTGGAGTGACAGGATGAACAGACTATTTTTTTTTCTCTCTCTCAGGATATTTAACAATGGATCGTTTATAAGGGCCAAATGTAATATGTTTTCTGTATGGAAGATTTTTAAATATTTTCAAGCAACAGTTCCCGATAGGAATATTTTATGTCAACCCGCTTTTTCTACGAGAAGTTCAAGTCGAAGAGATTTTTTTTCACTCAGGACGTCAGCTGTTATAGATACAACAGCTGAAGGAGTTACTTATATGTGTCTTAAATGGTTTCAAATTAATATTGGAATCAATTCTGGGTTCGTGCCAAGAATTATTGAGTATATCATGGGAAGTAATTACAATTTTTCTCAGAGAAAACGTCTTCCATTAGAGCGATTTCATTTTTTTTCTTTTTTTATATACATATTACTTTTTTTTAATCATTTCACCACAAGCAGGGCAATAAAGCCACTAAGACGCAAGGCGTTATTGAGTGTGAGAGAATATGAGTAAAAGAAAACATGGGTGCGAAAACTATAAAAGAAAAGGTTGATTAATAAATTCGTTTTTTACAGCTTATCATCCAATTGCAGGTTATTTAATGCCAGAAAATAGGTTTAGATTGTAAGATTAGTTTTTCTTTTCTGGTTTAGTAATAAAAGTCATAATAATAAACCCATTATTCTTTCTTTACTGTCTTATACCATTCCGATTGAGGAATCACGGTAGAGTAACTTAGTAGACTGGTTGCCAACCAAGTCTATCGGAGCCAGCCTCTCCTGATAGCGGCTCAGATTGAGGAATCCGAGAGCCGAGTTAAAAATTCCAGTCAAATTCATTACATTCACTTACGATCTAATACCCTTGGGAAAGGCATGGATCCTCTCCCCGCCCCCAGCTATGGGTAAATAGCAGGACAGAGTGGGTTCTGTAGCCTTGGATGGCTACAAAAAATGAAAGCGTGTTCATGCACATCACTGATTGACTATTGTTGGTTGCTTAACCGGTTTTGTTTACCGGCATTTAACTCGGGTGGGTTATTTAATGCCAAAACCTCTACCAGACCCGGTAAATAATTCTGAAGTCTATTAAGCCTGCGAAGAGAAGGCGGGAAAGCAATACACTATTTCTTGTCTAATTTGAATTTAGCAAACATTAATATTAGGAGGTACGTCGGAACACCGCAGAGCAGCTCGGAATGAGGAGGGCCGAGTTCGAATTACAGTCGAATTCTTTATTTTCATTTAACCTGCTAGTAACCTTGGGAAAGGTATAGATTCATCTCTTCCCCCAGCATTGGGTAAATAGCAAGACATATTAAGCTTTATAGTCTTGTTTAGTAACCAGTCTAGGAGAATATATACTTTGAATTTAAAAACAACATGGAGACTCCTCGCAGCTTTGAGTTTAATAACAGTTGAAACTGGCTCCTAAAGAATTTAATGCCCGAATCTATATATTTTGTACGCAGTGTTATTTTATTTATTTAGTTTTTTTCTGATACAAGTCATACTAGTTAACCCATAGTTTTGGGGAGAAGAGGTGGATTCATAACTTTCTCAAGGTTATTTGCACGTAAAGTGAATATAAGAAACCCTACTGGAATTGGAACTTGGCTCCCCGATTATCAAATCCGAGCCATTATGCATTACACCACTGGCACACCCGAGCTTACATTTAGTGTTCTCAAATGGTCACATATCTAGGTACTTACTAGGATCGACGCTGCTTAAAAAAGAATTAAAAAAGGTAGAAGATAACGATTGCTTGCATTATTTACATTATTCAGACTGTTATCCCAATCTCTATTGCCATATTCACAACGTTTCGGCCTCTATATCTCTGAGATGAGGCATTATGATTACTTGCATTATGTACATTATTCGGACTGTTATCCCAATCTTCATTGTCATATTCACAACGTTTCAGTCTCTATATCTCTGAGATGAGGCATTATGATTACTTGCATTATGTACATTATTCAGACTGTTATCCCCATCTTCATTGCCATATTCACAACGTTTCGGCCTCTATATCTCTGAGATGAGGTATTATGATTACTTGCATTATTTACATTATTCGGACTGTTATCCTCATCTTCGTTGCCATATCCACGTTTCGACCGTTGTACGCTCCGGCCTAGATAGATTGTTCTAGTTCCACGTGCCATACCTTTTCCGTGTGTCTCAGTTATATTTTTAACTTTATTTGACTTTAAATAATGCAAGTAATAACGCATCTCAGAGATATAGACAGATAACGATTGATACTGCAATGATATTTCTGAAGATCAAACTTGACTGGAAAATAAGAGGCTAGAAGTGAGTTCCACAAGGGAAAAATGCACGTGAAGAAACTGTTAACATAGAAATTACGGTTACATTTAGCTATATTAACTGTCAAATGATGTGAACTTGCTGCCAATCTAATACTGCGACTGATTTGTACACCTAAGATAAAACCGGATGGACGGTAGATATATAATCACCCACCCGAGAGTAAAGAAGAAGAAGAAGAATTATTGAATTTTCTTTTATAACAAATAATCTATTTATCGATCTCTTCATCTATCTCAGTCTGTTTACATCTATGTGTAGGGTGCAAAACAAAATTGTCAGAAATCGTGTAACAGCAAAATTGTCCAATTGTTAGATTAAGCTCTGAATCATTGAAGAAATGATTAATTATATCTTAATGGAATTCTCTGTGTTTTTTTTTTTTTTTTACCCTATTGGACTCTACTACTCTAAGCTTCTAAGTATGCTGATGAAATCGATCATAAACGAAAATGACTTGTTCATCATTAATTATTCATAGCTAAAGATCGGCAACCAATGAAGTATTGAAATAAAGTTCATATATATATGTATGTATATTATTCCAGGATCATGTTCAAACTTATTAAAGATGATCTTCGCCCTCTCTAACCTTCTAACTTTCTGTTAGGCCTACAAATTTGTAGGCCTAACAGAAATTGGATCGGGATTATGATTCCAATGTAATAAATTATAACCATGGAATATTAGTGTTTGAGTCTTTTATCTTTCTCTGGCCTGGACATTGAGTTCTACCTGGATTCTATCATCTTGGGAATATATATATATATATATATATATATATATATATATATATATATATAGGTAAGCAAATATATGGATATAGATCCGACAGTATGAAAAAAAATATACGGAAAAAAAAACAAACAAAAATCCTAATATGCAATTATGCTGTTTTAATGTTAATATAATGTCAACGTCAGACGTTTCGGTCTAATAGACCATCTTCAGGACATATTCATAAAACATAATTAACATTAGACTATATTTAATTCAACATGAAAAGACGATGGACATAAGAGTAAGACTAATCAAAACAAACTGAAATTTTTCAAGATCAGCGTTCCGTTTCAATATGATCACGTCGACGTCACGTGGGCCATGTTGGGAAAATGTATTCCTAAAATATTCTTAAAATAAAATTCTTTTCATTTTTCATTCAAAATACTATATTTCAGGGAGTACGTTTTCCGTATATTTTTCTTCATATATATATATATATATATATATATATATATATATATTACATGAATCATTCATACAAAAAACAGATTAGTGAAGTTAATGATATAAATGGCGAGAATACATCTTCGCAAACAAATTTATTAAAATTACATTAACCCCCAAACCTCTAGATGAATGTTATGATCCCTGTTTTTCATAAATTCAACTTGTATAAGGTCTTTTTTTGCAAGTACTTTCATCTGTTCATACAGACATAATCAGGTATGGAAATTAATTTCTTTTTTGTTTTTTAAATCCATCCAGGCAATAACGGGACACGAGAGATTAGATTTGAATCAAAATATGTTCTTTTAGAAATATTTTATTCTTAACTAAGAAATTTTGGAGCGTGCGGTCGCAACGCTAAGGTTGAATTTTTTGAAAAAATTAAAAGAGTGCGTTTTTTACTAATATGGTAATTGGAGAATTCTTTTGTCGTAGTAGTTTTTTTCAGTCGATGTGGCATGAACTAAATTGTTCAATAAATAGAGCAATGTCGCAGCTATTATCCCAAGTTACACACACACACACACACACACACACACACACACACACACACACACACACACATATATATATATATATATATATATATATATATATATATATATATATATATATATATATATACGTCAGCAAATATATGGATATAGATCCGACAGTATGAAGAAAAATATACGGAAAAAGAAACAAAAATCTTAATATGCAATTATGCTGTTTTAATGTTAATATGTCAACGTCAGACATTTCGGTATAGTAGACCATCTTCAAGGCATATTCATAAAACATAATTAACATTAGACTATATTTAATTCAACATGAAAATACGATGGACATAAGAGTAAGTTTCAGTTATCTGTTTTGATTAGATTGAGATAGATAGATAGATAGATAGATAGATAGATAGATAGATAGATAGATGTAATAATAATATTATTGATGTCATTACACGTAGATAGATAGATAGATAGATAGATAAATAGATAGATAGATAAACTGCAGACTGAGATAGATTAGATTAGATTAAGATAGATAGATGTGGAGAATCCAAGAGAGATAATATATATATATATATATATATATATATGCATGCGTGTGAAAGAGAGAGAATACATACATACATACCGAGATAGGTATATAATTAAGAGAGAGAGAGAGAGAGAGAGAGATAAAGAAAGAAAGAGAGAGAGAAAAACAGGCGGAAAGCCAAAACAGAATTCAAATAGATAGATAGATAGATGAGAAAAGACTGAGATAGATAGATAGATAGATAGATAGATAGATAGATAGATAGATAGATAGATAGATGAGAAAAGACTGAGATAGATAGATAGATAGATAGATAGATAGATAGATAGATAAGAAACGACTGAGATAGATATGGACAGATTATTCGTCATGAGTTCTTTTCAGTGAAATCATTAATTGAATGAATTTGTACAACTGTTTCATTTTTTGTTTTTTTTTTTTACTTTTTTCCTCAGAAAATTTTCCTTGTAATTATTCATAAATAACTTAATTACTCTTTCAGAACAAGTCCATTTTCCCGCCTTTTGCCAACTTTGGGCCGTTAAAATCAAACTGCATTCCATCTATCAGAGCAAAACCGTTGGCCTTTTTTTTTTCTATTTTATTTTAACCAATCATCGATTCTTGTTGCGTGGGCAGTTAAAAAAAAAAGACCCGTTTGGGCAAACACTATAAATAATAATCATGGAGCCATTTTTATTGCAATTTAATTGCCATTCGATACTGTAAAAAGCTTTTCTGTTTTTGTAGTCCATCATTTTGCATTAGGAGATCAATTAATAATATTTGTATCACGTTCTCTGTTTCCTATAACATTCGGTTTAAAAACTGGAATCGAAAGAAAGACAAGATATACTCAACTCTTATTCAGGTTATAATTAACTAATGTTAACTTAATTTGACATGTGGCTATAAATTATCTCCTATTCCTTAGCTGACCAGATTTCTCAGATGGAGTGATGACGTCAGCGAGAGGATAATACGGTCCGATTGCTTTTGTTTGAAAACATGAAAATTTGCTGTGGAGACGATGTGATTAAGAAAGAAATTGCAATTCAAAACATTTATTCCTTCGTCAGACCTTAGCAATCACAGTAAAAAAAAAAGAAATAACAATGTAAAAATGTACAACTTACATCAGCGTCAAGTAGGCAATAAAGAAATATTTAAAAATAAAAAAAATCCAGTTGTTACAGATAGATAGATAGATGTAAACCTGTAGAGTGAAACATTAATGTATATAGACGTGAACATATTTATATATATATATATATATATGTGTGTGTGTGTGTGTGTGTGTGTGTGTAAGCAAATATATGGATATAGATCCGACAGTATGAAGAAAAATATACAGAAAAAACAAACAAAAATCTTAATATGCAATTATGCTGTATTAATGTTAATATAAAGTCAACGTAAGGAAAGGATTTATTATCGAACTGTTTTTAAAATTGTTCCATCGTTCTGATATTTTGAAATCATTTTTGATTTGCATTGTAACGTGGAGGACTTCAAACTTGTATGAAGATATAAGAACCTATTGATCTCTGCGTATTCCTATATCAACGGAAGGGATTTCTTGAACTGTTTATATAAAATAGTTCAATCGACTTTTTTAATATTTTAATATTTGGAAATCATCTTCGAATACGTTTTCACAACATCGCCCACGTGACGACGACGTGATCATATTTAAACGGAACGCTGATTTTATATAAAAATTTCAGTTATTTGTTTGGATCAGTTGTGTTCTTATGTCCGTCGTCTTTTCGTGTTGAATTTTTATATGTTCTAATGTTAATTATGTTTAAATCAAAATGTCCTGAAGATGGTCTAAAATAGACCGAAACGTCCGACATTGACTTTATATTAACATTAATACAGCATAATTGCATATTAAGATTTTTTTTGTTTTTTTGTATATTTTTTCTTATATATATATATATATATATATATATATATATATATATATATATATATAAAGAAATATAGTCTTAAGGTATGCTATATTTATGGAATAAAGTGCTCAATATCAGAGATAGAGCGTGTAAATATAAATATAAAAGTGAATATAGAAGTCAACACTTAGAGGCGACAGTCTGTTTCATGCTATATGCAATCGTCAGGACACATATGCAGTTATTTTTCTCAGCTATTTATATATATATATATATATATATATATATATATATATATATATATATATATATATATAATTAAAAACCTGTCCCCGCCAAAATAATAGCTAGAATGAACCACAACAATCAACCCCAAAATTGTACAAATAGCTTTAATTAAACTGTCAAACCAAAACAAAACTGTTAAATAAGTGATATAAACAAATTTTTACTACGATAATAAATAAATAAATAAAATAAGAAACAAAAAAATAAAAACAAGCAATATAATTTGACCCAAATAAATAAACAAAGCGACTTCCGGTAAAATAACCGCCATAATAGAATACCCACAATGCACCACTAACCCGTATATTTATAAATAGCCGAGAAAAATAACAGCATATGTGGCCTGACGATTGCATATAGCATGAAACAGACTGTCGCCTCTAAGTGTTGACTTCTATGTTCACTTCCACAATAACACCAATACACGCAATCTACATAAACCCAAATTTTTTAAAACATTAATCAGTTTGTCTGACGGTCGCTAAAGCCTGAAACCCAGGGTCACAAACTCACATCTATCCAACCAAATATGTTAGCTCTATCTCTGATATTGAGCGCTTTCTAATAAGTACCGCGCATGTAATATATAAATAATTATACATACTTATATATATTTATTTATATTTATATACACTTTTCACATATATATATGAATAAAAATGACAATAGGAAAACTATTTTTTGCTGACACGTTTCGTCCAATGTGGACTTTATGAAAGCAAAATACGAAAATGAAATTAATTGAACAAGGTAACTAATAAAAACAAAAAAACAGAATGTTCCTAGCAACTGCCCATCCGAATATCAATATTACTAACAACATTAGGGTGCAACCGAGGCACTGCCACAGACGGGGTTTAAATATTTGAAGGGGGGGGGGCTGAAAAGGCAAATGTATTATAATAAATAATATTATTGTAATAATTTAAATTATATTTATTTTTAGTGAAGTTTTTTTTAATTTTTTTTATGAAAGATATATATGCAAGAACAGATAGTAAATAGTAAAACGTTATAATGGACAGGAAGTAGTGGAGAGCCATCGTCGCCAAAAAATATGGACTCAAAACCACCACTGGAAAATTATCTATCAAACAAAAAAAAAATGTCATCAAAATCGGATGGAAACTGTGGAAACGCATAAACAACATCCGATCACACATACACACACACACAGACCCACACACACACCCACACACACAACACACACACACACCACACTCACCCACACACACACTCACACACAAAACCACACACACACCCACACACGCACCCCACACCCCCACATACCCCCACTCCCCACACACACACATACACACACACATGCATACACACATGCATTTTGAGAAATATAGTTTCGAAGCATCTATAATATTAGGACTTATCAAAAGTATTTTTCACTCTTCTCGAAAGGTTACCATTTTTTCGATGTATAAGACGCACCTTTGTTTACCCAAACTTTTCATACCAAAATCTGCTCGGGTCCTAAGCACCGAAGGTATATAAATAATATATCTATATTTGGGCAGCAATCTTTTATTAAATATGGCAGACAAGGAAGATTTAATTAAATGTTATATTTAGTTTTTTCAGCACCTTTACGTTTTTTTTTCATTTTCAAGGAATGAAGGAGTACAAAATCTTTCATAATTTTAATTGTCCCAAGCGCTTTCGGTCACCTTACTTCTTCTCTCTCTGTTTCTGTCTCTCTCTCTCTCTCTCTCTCTCTCTCTCTCTCTCTCTCTCTATATATATATATATATATATATATATATATATATGTGTGTGTGTGTGTGTGTGTGTGTGTGAAAAGTGTATATAAATATAAATAAATATATATATGTATAATTATTTATATATTATATGCGCGGTACTTATTAGAAAGCGCTCAATATCAGAGATAGAGCTAACATATTTGGTTGGATAGATGTGAGTTTGTGACCCTGGGTTTCACGCTTTAGCGATCGTCAGACAAACATATATATATATATATATATATATATTACCAGTTTTTGACTGGAAGGGATAATTCTAAGGAAGATATAAATCTAGGGCGAGCTCAATGTAGACTACAGAGCATTTTAATGATAATACGAAGACAGTTGTTCAACCCGTTAGACGGATATTTCCTCCCTAAAATCTATTTTTACATAGGGGATTGAAGAGTAGAACACCTCGGTGTTCACGAAATAATTTATAATCGAAATGGATAATTAAAGTCTCCGTTTTCTTATTATCATTATATATATATATATATATATATATATATATATATATATATATATATATATAAACTTATATTTTAAAATAAAATTTTATTCTTTTAATGTACCTTCTATGAATATTTTTTCTAATCGACTATTTCATAGAAAATCCCCAAAATTTTTAAAAATTTAAATCACTAACAAACATTAAATTAAATTCTTTGTAGGCAGTTTAGACATTCAAATTTATATCAAACATTATAATCTTTATGAACCCCCAAAATAACACTTTCAAAGTAAAACAAAATGACAGCGTCTTTTTCGAGCCTGTTCTTTCCAATGAAAATTAGTGACACCTTCACTCATGAGTTCCTTCTCTCTTTTCCTCTTTATGTGTTTTTTCTCCTCTACCCCTTCGATATCAATATATAACTTCCGTTAAGTTAATCGTTTAAATGTGTCAATGTCTGGACATCAGGTAATTTTAAGTATAAAAGAATAGAACTTTTAAATTACATCTAACTCACTCATGTCTTCTCTCTCCCCCTCACTTCCCGACTTCGTTAATTTACATATGTTTAATACGGCCCGTCAAAAATGTGTAAATTTCTTTTCATTTTTTGTTTCAGCCTTTGGAAGTGAAATCTGATGATTCGCAATCCTTTAAAACGGCTTTAGTGAAATAAATTATTACATCGAACCTTAAAGTTGTCTGTTTTTATTTAAATTATTTGCTATGGATTTACATTGAGCTCTCTGGATTTTATCCTCCTTGCGTCTACCCATACGGATTACCTAGTTTTCATAAACTATATATATATATATATATATATATATATATATATATATATATCAGTTGAAGATCAAATGTACATCAGATATCGATAGAAATCCGACAAGATGATAAAATGAAATGAAGAACAAAGTAGGAAGCGAACGAATCTCATTCTAACAGTATTACTGCTTCGTCATGGATCGAGAATATATATATATATATATATATATATATATATATATATATATATATATGTGTGTGTGTGTGTGTGTGTGTGTGTGTGTGTGTGTGTGTGTGTGTATGTATGTATTGAATCTCTGAAATAACATCAATCTGAGGTGAATAAATAAAAGTTTTAATATATGAAAAGCCGATGATATACAGTAGATATGGTAGATAGATATGAACAGAGTGACATAGATAGATAGATAGATATATAGATAGATAGATAGATAGATAGATAGATATGAACAGACTGAAATAGATAGATAGATAGATAGATAGATAGATAGATAGATATGAACAGACTGAGATACATAGATAGATAGATAGATAGATAGATAGATAGATAGATAGATATGAACATGAATACACACAGATAGATAGATAGATAGATAGATATGAACATAAATACACACAGACAGACAGATAGATAGATAGATAGATAGATAGATAGATAGATAGATATGAACATAAATACACACAGATAGATAGATAGATAGATAGATAGATAGATAGATAGATATGAACATAAATACACACAGACAGACAGACAGATAGATAGATAGATAGATAGATAGATAGATAGATAGATAGATAGATATGAACATAAATACACACAGACAGGCAGATAGATAGATAGATAGATAGATAGATAGATAGATATGAACATGAATACACACACACACACATACATATATATATATATATATATATATAGATAAATAGATAGATAGATAGATAGATAGATAGATATGAACATGAATGCACACAGATAGATAGGTAGATATGAACGTAAATACACACAGATAGATAGATAGATAGATAGATAGATAGATATGAACATATTGAGATAGATATATACGTACATCAGATAATATACAAACAGAAATGAATATATCTTGACATAAGTATTTGTGCTTAATTAGATATCCCTGTTTAAATTCGTCGATTGATAATCTTGCTGACCTTAACCCCTGACATAATGCAGTATTTCATAATCGGTTCCAGGAATCGTTCTAGGAATCACTTGATTCCTTCGATAATGGTTTATGCTTACAAGAGACATAATAGAAGAAAAATGGAATATTGCTTCCATATCTGGATTGGAACTCTTATGTCTTCGCTTTTTCACACCTGATAAAATTCAAAAATCGTTTCCGCGGTCTTCCGGGGGAAGACTGTTTAGCTTGCAACGGATGCAACACTTCAAATCCTATCGATAATCGTTCGCTGTTTCCATTGTAAATGTCCAGAAGACCTTCATTCTTTGATGTCACCAGTCCAGAACTGCCACTGTGTAACATAAGCATGAAGCTTTCCCTGAATATTACATATATTATTTTACGTCCAGTGTCAATCGTTATCCATCCTCATTATCCTCATAGCATTCATCGAGTGATTGGTAGGTAAATGCATCTTTAAAATTTTGTTCGCCATTTTATATCATCAGATGTTTAAAATATGGGTAGTATTAATATATATATATATATATATATATATATATATATATATATATATATATATATATATATATATAATTGAGTTGTGTGTGTTCTGTCTTATGTCTTAGTGTGTGGTAGGGATGTTTTTAATTTCCGAATACGGTTTGCACATTGTGGCCTTGTTCATAGTTAATATTGTTAAGAGTTGGCTTTTTCTTTTTTATTATTAAAGCTTCCATTATTTTTAATCTTTTTTGCAGATGGATGCAGTTAATATATTTGTGTTTTCTACTAGTATGTTTCTAATGGAATCGGGTAAATTTGTGTGTGTGTGTTTAAATGTGTTCTAATGGAGCTGTGATCAGATAGGTGTAACGTAAGACGTCTGGATAAGCATGTGGTTGTGTAACCGATGTAATTATTTATGAGTCCGGTTTGATCAGGAACACAGTTCCTTAAGTGGCATTTGAACTCATAGATAATGTTCGTTCTTTGAAATTTTGACTTAGCTGGTGTGTTGTTATTTTTGAGGATAAGGTTGGCTGTCTTAAATGTTTTATAATAGATAATTAAATTGATTTTTTTATTCGGGTCAATTGGAGTAGTATATTTCCTTATAATATGCCTTATATATATATATATATATATATATATATATATATATATATATTGTTCCAGGATCATTTTCCAACTTATTCAATATGATCTTCGCCCTCTCTAACCTTCTAACTTTCTGTCCTGCAGTAACAAGTTGCCTCACGTGTTTCATTTACGATTTAATTTTCAAGTCTTTTTTTACTGCTCTTTTGGACTGTCATAGCTGAAAATGCTCTCTCAAAGCGCAAACGTCTTACGGATTGAGTTGGATCTTTTCTAATTGATCTTTTTAGCTCTAAGTTGAAATGATGATCCCTCTTGCTGTTGTATACTCCTGATCCAGTTTTCCTCTCTACTGTTCCCTCTTTTTTTAAACTTATTCACCATTCTCTTGATGGTTCTTGAATGGACGTTAAAGATGGAAGCCAGAATGTGAATGTTGATGCCATTATTGAAGGCGTGAATGATCTTTTTTTGTCTTACTATCGATCAGTTTGGAAGATAGTTGGTCTGACACAAAACGATTTTAACCCGCTCTCTTTCGAGCTGAATAACTCAAATGGTTTCTATGTGATTCTTACGACATATGGTGTTAAGATGCCTAAACGTCTTCTCTGGAAAAGGTGGAAAAATGAATTAGTTTAGTGCTTTTTTTTTAGATAAACATTTTGTGGGAGGCATAATTATGCCATTACACGATTTGGATAATGTTGCGGCTACACCATCTATATATGTATGCCGTGAAAATATTTCGAGTCGCCCTTAAGAGTATCGATCAGCAAACTAGCGTTCCACAGCACAGCAATTAAGAATCATGGCATAAAAACAAAACAAACCTGCATCTACCTTTTTAATTCTAGTGTAAACCGAACTTTTTTGCCTTTAAAGCAAACCAGATCTACACCGTTCTGCAAATTAATTGAAACAAAACGAATAATTTTCCAATGAAACATGACCCAGTACACATGTCAGTACTTAGGATGTCTATTCCACGTTCCTTGCAGATTGGCCACAGATTCTCGATTGGATTTAAATGCCATATATGGTCTGGCGCCCCTTCTGTTTGCCTCGGGGTTCTTGATAGACTCCAGAAGCGGATATGCAATATGGTTGGCCCTGCCCTGGCGTCTCGTCTACAGTCACTTTCTCACAGACGCACCGTCGCCTCCCTCTGTCTGTTCTACAAATACTTTCATGGAAATTGCTCCGAGGAGCTGCATTCGCTGGTTCCCAAACTTCATGAGTTCAAGCGCCCTACGAGGCTGGCATCCCGCTCTCACCCTTTCACTGTCGAAACTCATAAATGTAGCCGTCTCTTCTACTCTAATAGCTTCATGTCTCGCACCTCTCGCCTGTGGAACTCTCTTCCCTTCTCCTGTTTCCCTGAGAGTTATAATCTCCAGCTATTCAAGTGTAATGTCAATCGACATCTCCAGTTGCCTTAATCTATCTACTACTCTCATCCTTTCTTCTATCACTCCTATCTGATCTTCCTATTTTCTGTAACCCCTTGCGTCCTAGTGGCTCCCCGCCTTGCTTGGGGTGAAATGCTTAAAAAAAAAAAAAAAAAAAATCAGGGGAGATTCCGCGCCAGTCTATAGAACTTTGATTTGCTCACTGGTGAGACTTGCCTGTGTGTCCATGCAGCGTTACAGTTTCCGTACGTTTCCTAGGCAATGGCCGTAATACAACTAATCGACAGTCGAGACAATAGTGTCCAAGCGTGATAAAAATTCGATGCAATCACAGATGATGTTGAGGCCAAGCAAATTTCATCATACATCCCGAAAACAGAATCATATTACTGCACACCACTTCAAATGACCTAATCTGAGGAAAAAAAAAAAAGAAATCGATTACACCCTGTCACTCCCGTGGGTCTAAAACTGACCGCATGGTGAAAGAAAGGAAATTAAAGTGATTGTTTCAATTAATTTGCACAAGAATGTAGTTTAGTGGGTTTTTTTTTATATACTAAATATTTTGTAGGATGTATAATTATGCTGTTACACGATTTTGACAATGTTGCTATCACATCAGGTATATATATATATATTTATTTATTAAAGACATTTTTATGTTTAACGTTGTTATTTATAGATACAAGTATTTAAGCAAATGCTCTGTTTATGATAAACAGTATTAAATAACATTTACCGGCCTGAATGTCCGAGAAATATTCATAGAAAATATTCGTTCTTTGACAGGATACGAACCTGCATCCTATACGGAACCGTCATATACGCTGACGTGCCTTAACCGTCTCGGCCACAAAGAACCTTGCGGTAGACATTCAGGCCGGTAAATGTTATTTAATACTGTTTATCATAAACAGAGCATTTGCTTAAATACTTGTATCTATAAATAACAACGTTAAACATAAAAATGTCTTTAATAAATAAATTGTCGGACCTTGTCCATTTCTTAACATATATATATATATATTTATATATATATATATATATATATATGTGTGTGTGTGTGTGTGTGTGTGTGTGTGTGTGTGTGTGTGTGTGTGTGTGACGTGGCAGTATTTCGCGCCACACTTAAGAGAATCCGGCGCCACACTAGCGTGTTACGGCACGACGGTCGAGGATCACTGCTCAAGAGAAAAACCAGACTTGTATCTAGCTTTTTAATTCTAGTGTAAAACAAATCCAATCGATGTTTACCTTTTTGATTCTAGTGTAAAGAAGAGAGCTATATCAATAATTTTAACTCCCGTGTAAATCGAACCTATGAATACCTATGAGTTAATTGATTTTCATTTTTGTTCTATTAGACATATATTCGATATAACATAACTCAACAATGGTTGATATGTTGGTAAATTAATCAATGAAAGAAAACAAGCGTGCCTAGTTTTGCAGGAGGCTAATACGTTAAATGAGCCATAAATTCGTTTCGTCTTCCAATCTATAGCGTTTGAAAAGTGTTGTTAACGATCTGTGAAATGCTTGTAACACTTGAACTAAGCTTTCCTCGCTGAACCTAAAGAAACACAGAGTTTTGTTCACAACTTTTCCGAGAAAATGCACTTTTAACATCACTCTTTCCGTCTTCTCTTCTCACTCACTGTTCATCATATTAGGTTGGTGCAAAAATAATGACTTAATAATGTCGTTTTTTGACGTTAAAAAATACGTCAAAAAACGACGTTATTACGTCCTTATTTTTGCACCAACCTAATACTTCCTATCTAATTATCTCACTTCATCCACTCTCGCTGTCTTTTCTCTCTCTCTCTCTATCATTCTTTCTCTCTCTTTCGCACTCGTTCTCCCATACTGTCTCTTTCACCCTCATTCTCACTCTTTCTCGCCTCTCTCTTTCTCTTTCTTTCTTTCTTTCTTTCTTTCTTTCTTTCTTTATTTCTTTATTTCTTTATTTTTTATTTATTTCTTCAATCTTTCTTCTCTCTCTCTCTCTCCCTCTTTTTTCACGCTATCTCCCACTCTCTTTCTCACACTCTGTCCCCTCACTAACTCTCTTTCTCGTTCTCATTTCCCCCCCTCCTCTCACTCTTTCTCACTGTCTTTCTCTCTCTTTCTCCTCTCTCTTTCTCTTTCTCAATCATTTTCCCCCTCTCTCTATTTCTCACTCTTTCTCCCCCTCTCTCTTTATTACTCTTTCTTCCACTCTCTCTCTCTTTATCACTCTTTTCCTCTCTTTCTCTTTTTCCCTCTTCCCCCCTCTCTTTCTCACTCTTTCTCCCTCTCTTCCTATCTTTCTCTTTCTATTTCTCACTCTTTCTCCCTATCTTTCTCTCTCTATTTCTCACTCGTTCTCCTTTCTCTTTCTCTAT